AACGGGCAGACGCGGTGCAGCCACGCGACGTTCTATTTTCAAATTATTACAAAGCGTCGAGCGCGTTCCGATTAATTTGTCATAGTATCATCGCGTCCGCGGCAATGGCGGCAAGGGAATGTTTATTTTTATTACAAACAGCGTAATCTTCATCTTGGTGAAAGATTTATAACACGTAGCGGTTAAGGCAATTATAATGGTAGGCGCAGCGAGCCCAGGAATGTAGCGTATTTGTTGCTAGCGACGGTTTTTTATTCATTTTGTTTAACTTGTTGCGGAAATTAATGTTTGTGCTCGTAATTGTTGTGTCAAGTTGTAGAAATTTAATTTGTATGATTTGTTGCCGTGGTCTGTGTTCATTTTGTTTCTGTTGGTTAAACAGTTGCTTTTGCTTATTCATGGGAAATTATCTTTACTTTGTACGTTTTCTCGAGCGCTTTTGTTTTAAGTTGGCGTTATTTACAGATTCCCCGAAGCCAAACACGGAGAATTTTAAAACAACAAAGCCTTACGTTTGTTTTCGTTGTTTTATTTGAGAAGCGGTGATTGTTGAGGAGGATATAATTACATATTATTTTCAATCAATACGAGGAAGGAGGCTGGCGTGTCGATAATGCCCGGTATCGGTGCGGCGGCCGCTAGAGGTGTGATACCGCCTAGAGCTGAGCTACACTCGGATAGCACCGCGCTGACGCCTAGCACCCTACTAAGTGAGAAGCGGGAGCGATCTTATTAAACTTAACTATCACGTCTATAATACAAAAGTTTTATATCACATTATTTATTTAAACAATAACAATTTGACACTAAAAAAATAATAAATTTGACATTAATACAAAAAAACTAAGAATTGATGAAATATTGATTTGAAAACGCCAGCTCCTGTAACTCGCACCTAGTCCGGAATGCATAATTCTATGTGTAGAGTCACGAACGATGACTTTTAATAGTAATGTGATGGGATCAGCGCAGGCGCACGCGGCTAATGCGTTCGTGTGCTCTAAATCATTAAGTAGATCGCCTCGTCTCGATGGGAACTTTGAGAACTGATCTATGCGTTGTACCTGCATATATTACAAGTAAATTGTATTAAGGTGCTGGTATTAAGTGCTTTAGAGTCATAAAGGGGTTAATATATTAATTAGAATATGTGTAATGTTTCGCTGAATAGTTGAAGAGATCTTAGATCCGATTTTCAGGTCAAAAAAGAGCTATTATTTGAAAAAGTATAGAATATTCGCAAAATTTTGTTGAAGGGTCAACGTCATACTTTTACTTCTCTAGCTCTGAATGAGGCGGGAGTATCAGGCTCCTTCTGACTAAAAACCACCCCGTCCTTTCTCCTGCTCTAGGCCGAGGAGCGATGGAATGTCAGACTCTTACTGACCTTTACCGTGCCCTAACCGGGTTTCATATTACCTACAATTATTGTTACTACAATTACAACAGATGAATGCAATGAAGCGCTTGAGTCTTTGAGACTAGAAAGCAAGAGAAGGGATAGAGGGGGGGGGAGCATTCCTTCTCCTACTCTAGGCCGAAGCCGCGGTACCTTATTGTGCTTAACCCGCAAACCCTGGCTAAACATCGGCCCTTGGTCCGATGTAACTAAGCTAGTCTGATTCTGGAGTCTCTTTTCTAGACCAAGAAAACGTTGGTGACAACTCAGCCATCGATTCAGTCATCGAACATATATTCACAAAGGAGTTGTAATGCTGCATTGAAAGCTGGAGGTGGCACTTTAGTCGCCGTATCTGATAATAAATCTGATCAGATTATCTCCGTCGTTTATAAGCTGTTTGACAATGGTGGCCACTTACCGGCCCCTATCAGCCGATCGCGCAGATAACCATAGATAACTCAGCTTGTTTCTATTAAGTACTCTATTAATTTATGCTCATTATAAATCTTTGTTCCCGTACAGTCAGTAGCGGGTTTTTTAAGGTATAGCTTGATAAAAATAATCGTTATTACTTAAGGTAGAGAGGTGATTTTTCTCTATGTATGTTCGTTGAATGTGATTTGGAAAATATTAAAGATTCAATAAGTTCTGTTTATGTAAACAAATACATATATCTTTACTAATATTATAAAAACGAAAGTAACAAAGTCCGTCAATTTTTTTCTTCACGCCTAAACTACTGAACCGATTTCTGTGAAATTTGGTACATACATAGTTTGGAAATCGAGAAAGGACTTAGGATAGTTTTTATACCAAAAATCTGCAGGAAGTCAATATTCCACGCTAACGGAGTCGAGGGCAAAATCTAGTTTATCTCGAATGTTTCAACTATTTAGTGGAAGTTGAATTATATTCAGTTCTTATAATAATATAGCTATGAAATCGTACTATGTAATATTATAAAAGCAAAATTTTGCAAGTTCGTATGAATGAATGTATCTTTGACGTGAAAACTACTAAACGGAACTGGATCAAATATCTTATGCGGTAGAGATAGGTTATATTCTGGAATATAAACATAGGAATAAACTGGCAGAAGCTAAAGTACATAAAGTAAAAAAATTGTATTTTATCACCTTTTGGTAAGAAATCGAGGCTGCCAATAGACACCTGCAAGACCAAAGGAGTTACAAGTGCGTTATCGGACTTATGTGGGTAGTTTTAGAAATTTGAGAATTGCAAGGATTGGAAACATGATCAATAAAGCCAACATTTATGAAACTAAATTAACCTACAGCTGGAGGTAGTCACAACAAGTAATTCAATTCAAGCGACATTAAAAGACAGAATTAATCAAACAAATCGATTTATAATGAACAAAGCAGCCATTGAGACTTGGTTTTATCTGTTTGATTTACGAACGTAGTTAACCTTCTGACCGGATTGCACAGTGGTACCACCCAGATGGACTCGCGCATAAATTCTTTATATTCATAAAATTGATCGTTTTTATGATCAAAATTCAGTTATTAATGTTTTTGTAGTTAACGAACAATTCGCTTTTTGGATGCAATTAAATAATTCCTTACTTAATTTATTTTGTGAAACGAGCAGTCAGATGACCTCATAGAAAGCAATCGGCGCCGCCTATGGAAACCCGCTACACAATAGGAGTTACGAGTGCGTTGTTGGCCTTTTGTGGATTTGGGTTTCGGATATTTAAGGATTGGAGAAGAATAAACAGAGGGAATAGCGTCGGTAGCCTCACTCACATGGCGAAACACAGCGCTGTGGTTGTTCCACGCCGATTTTCTCTGAGGTTGTGATATCACTCCGATCGAGCCGACCCATTCGTGCTGAAGCTTGGCTCTCCCACAATTAAAGTATAGCGTAATTATCCCATTAAAAGAAAATGGTCTTATTTGTTAACTACTTCATTTAAGGTGTACAACCTATGTGGCATATGGAAATTATCAATTGATTTTGACCGTCCCAAGTGAGGCGAGAGGAAGAGTCAGACTCTTACTGACTAAAAACCATCTCGTTCCTTCTCCTGCTCTGGGCCGAGGCTAGTAGTACTTTATTGCACATGCACGCGCAGCCCCGTCTGTTTTACCTATCAAAAGAATCAGTGTTAACATTTTTCGTCGTGGCCGTAGTAGCCCGGAGTTTGAGGTACCCGCTTCTCAAGCATGAGGGTACGGTTTTGAATCCTGGCAAGTACCAATGGGTCTTTTCCCTATTTATATGTACTTTCAATGCTTATTTAGACACCACTGACATACGATGAAGGAAAACATCGTAAGGTGAAGGAAACCTGGACTTACAATTTCTAATTACATATAATTTTGAAATCGCCCTTCCGCCTTGATTAAGGTTGGTGATTAATGCTCAAAACCTTCACCTTGTGAGAAGAGGCATTTGCTTAACAGTGGGTACTTAATTATAGCCTGATGATGATGATGATGATAATGATGGTGAAGATTTTACGCGTGCATGTATTTTGTGGATAAGTTCTTAGTCTTCTAGTTACACATAAAAAATAATTGTCCTTGATGATTAACTAATAAGAAACCAATCCTTCTAATTCTATTCTGAGAGCAGGATAAAATAAACTTTAAGTTAAATTTGTCTCGTGTTCGTAGACAAAATAAATAATCTGGATCAAGCCCAGCAGCTTGTCAATTATTTCCCGATAAATATTTAAATTAATTGAATTAATTATTCAATATAACGTCTACGTTTTGTACCTACTACACAACTGTGATGTGCGTGGGATTTAAGATATGGTTGTGACGTCACAATCATACTTAATGAATTACTGGAGGAATATGGTAAGATCGAGAGAAAGGATTCATTCATTAAATTGTAAGTAGAATATTCATTAATATTATTTTTTTCTAATATGTAACATTATTCAGTATTTGCATAACATAATACTTTTTATTCCAGTAACCATAAAAGTTACTTTTTTCCCAATTTTAATTTGCTCTAATTTCTTACTTGAAACACTAGATTACGGTCAACCAGTAACAGAACTATGACCACAGCTTTTATGGTGTACTTACTAAAAAGTATTTAACACAAAGTTCTTTATAGTCCGGAGAAAATCTAAGATTTATTTATAAACATGTTATCAGAGTGTCGGAGCGGGCGACTTATAATCACAGTTAGCGATTAACAGCTGAGCTGAGCTGGCGCGATTAGTTATGAGCCAGGCTTACATAGATTATCATATTAACACCGATAGATAAATACTATTCATTTTAGTTGCGTTAGACGTTTAGTCGCCATGACGGGCTTCTAACTGGTTGTGTCACAATTACATTAATCTTTTTACTTTACAACATTGTAACTGTGGATGTTTTCAAGGCTAAACACAATAGCATGATATTTTTTAATCAGCCATTCTGAAGGTACTTAATGTATTGCAGGTATAAGAAAAATGAAAACACAAAATAAAACGTTCAAGAATCAGTTATATTATTAAGTATTTATAAATTCATTATTATCAAAGTTTAAAGTTAGAACTAAATAAAACACGGCAGTTAAAGGTAAGTCAGACTCATCACGAATTATAAATTCAATCGTTTGCCAGTTAACAGTACATCATTAGTTCATCAATAGTGCAGGACTTCTCACAGCATTCGTCGACGGGGCCGCGCTTGCCGCGCATGCCAGCCAGCGCGCCCGCCGGCGGCACCCACCAGCTTCGCTTGTTGAGCTCGGGGCCCCAGCACAACGTCGCCAGCATCTCTGAGAGGCGACGACCGCAGTACACACCACGTCCTTGCTGTGCCGTGCACACGTAGGCACAGCACGCCAGCACAACAGCGAAAAACACAAACTTCATCATGATTACGGTGACAGGTCTGGTAACTCGAAGCTCCGATGTGTAAGTCCCGGTGAATGGGGTTGGAATGTATTCCTCCCTTAAAACACTGCCCTTTTATACCTGGATGTGGCTCATTAATATTCTTAACACCTTATTAGAATATGTCACCTACATGTCCACTGCATCCCACATTATTGCGTAAGTCAGGTTTCCCTCGACGACACAATTACGCAAGTCGTTACTTCAGGCAGAAAATTGTTAAATATACCGTCGAGACAGATTAACATCAAGGACAGGAACTTTGACGTAGTTTTCACACGCTCTGGTTACCGGACACTCGGTGTCCAACTGTTCATCAGCGGCGCTGGTCGCTCATAACTTAAGGAAAGATAAGGAATAAGCTGGTGGCTTAAAGCCACTATATATACATATGTATACTAATTTTAAACCCAGTCAACTTCTCCGATGTCCCTAAGAAAGTCACTATGTAAGTGTTTGGAAAAGTTCTTTGGTTTAATAAGTTTAACTCTTCATCTACTTTAAAATAACTTTGTGTCGTCGACGTATATGATTTTTTAGCAAACTGAGTATAAACAGCGAGAAGTAGTTAAGCCGTTGACCGATATCCACTACAGTCTACAGCAAGTTTCCGCCACTACAACAATACAACGAGCGTAGGTGTGAAGAATAGTCTCTCGTTTCAATGAATTACACAAAATCTAGACTGTTAACGGTAGAATTTTACATACATCCAGTAACATAAAAAGAGTGGGAAGTTACAACCTCCTTGCTCATTACGTGGTAAAAATCAAAATGCATATTAATGAGCTACCCCCTGGTATAAAAGGGTGTTATTCGGTGTAGAGAGCACATTCCAACCCCATCGTTTGGGAGTCACACACCGTCACCAGTACCTCAGTGAACTCTCCGATCATGATGAAGCTTGTGGTGCTCGCTGTCGTGCTGGCGTGCTGCGCCTGCGTGTGCTCGGCACAGGTCCGGGGCGGCGTGCACTGCGGCCGGGAGCTGTCGGAGACGCTGGCGACGTTGTGCTGGGGCCCCGAGCTCAGCAAGCGCAGCTGGTGGGTGCCGCCGGCGGGCGCGCTGGCTGGCGTGCGCGGCAAGCGGGGGCTGGTGGACGAGTGCTGCAGCAAGGCCTGCACTATAGACGAGCTGATGATGTACTGTTAGATGAGGTGAAGCTTTGATATTGTTGATTGGTTCTGTGGTGATGTAAATATATGAGCGATGTTTAACTGTACATGTTGTTTTATTTGTACCTTTACTCGTGTAATACAGTTGAGGGAGTAGGTTAGTTAGCTTTGATCCCAACAACAGCCATGTTCCACATTCAATTCTAGTTCCTCAGCTTACAAATAGCTCGGTCAGTCAGTCGGTCCTGGAGTAAGGAGGTGCAATAACCATCTCTCCCTCACAAACTATATTACTGCGTTACATTACCACACTATTATCGTACATTATCTTCCTGCTATAGTCTACCACTACGAACTAGAAACTTATGCTCTCGACCATTACAGATGTAATTACGAACAGATCGACGCGCCGTGGTGTAAATACTAAGTAATAATAACAGTTATTAGTTGCTCAGACCATTAATGTGTTTAAAAGGTTAAATAGATGATGTAGCAAATCATGATGTCAAAGTAAATCATTTTCAATCTTAAAGTGTGGAAATAAAGTTAAAAAATGATTGTTGCATATTCCGGTGTGTTTGTCTGTGCATCGTTTATTAATGATTCTTTAGATAAACCAATTTATATTAAATATAATATTTGAGAATATTTTAACAGAAATGTGAATATACAGAGAGTATTCTAGAAATATGTCTAAGAAGTACCTAATCTAAAAGCGAGTTTCTTCAAGACCTTACATATATAAGTCGCGTAAATATTTAAGCGTTCAATTTTCTTAAGCTACACGCCTACACAATTTCTGTAAAACTTCTAGATATAAACCAGGTATACCAGACTAAAAAAAATCTACATTACACAAACTCGCTTCCATCCGCGGCTTTGCCCGCATGGTATGTAGATTAAAAGTAGCCTATGTCCTACTCAGGAATGCATCCTATACATGTGCCAAATTTCATACAGGTCTATCCAGCCGTTTTGGAGTGATTGAGTAACAAACACCTAAATATCGTAACTTTCGCATTTATAATATTAGTAACATTTACAATTATACATCAAGATAGGACTTATTCCAATTGTCACTCATCATCATCATCATCATCATCATCATCAGCCTGTAAGAACCCACTGCTGAGCTGGCCTCTACTCATACTGATGAGCATTAATCACTAAACTTGCTCAAGAGAGATGAGTGATTTCAAACTTATTTATAATTAGAAATTATAAGTTCAGTCATGTTTCGTCGCGATGTTTACCTTCGCCGTATGTCAGTGGTGTCTAAATAATCATAAAAAGTACCTACATATAACTCGGAAAAAGTCGCATTGCTACTTTCCAGGTTTCAAAACCACCCATGCATGAGAAGCGGGCTCCGGCCCACCACGAAAACATTTCGGACTGCACGGTGGGTGCGGTAGCTGGGTAATTGACTACCGTGCAACGTGTCGCGGGTTCAATTCCCGTACGGAACAACACTTTGTGTGATCCACAAATAGTTGTTTCAGGTCTGGGTGTGATGTGTATGTGAAATTGAGTGTTTTTAAACGCATCCACGACACATGATAAAATACTAGAGTGGGGCAACGTTTTATTTAAACAAAAAATTACATTTTATGCAAATCCAGAAACTAAACCCAATATAAGAAGGTCATCAGTAACACTTACTAACAATTCAACTCAACCAACGACCTAAGCATTCATTTGAATGCGAGCATACCTACTTTATAACAAAAGCTGAATAAGGCTCGGTCCTAACTTCGGCCAGTTATATTATTTTAACATGGCCATCAAAGCCTTAGTGTCGGTTCATTCAGGCCTCGATTACCTCGTGAATGGTGTTTACGTTCAAATAAGCATGTAAACGGCTACAGTGACGTCACTTACTTCCCCAGATTACTGTTACAAACTTATGGACATGCTACATTTAGTTCAAATTTATCATAATGCTTGCTTTCTATGGCTATTTAGACACCACTGATAAACGGCGAAGGAAAACTCCGTGAAAAAATGTGGACTTATAATTTCGAATTATAAGTTTAAAATTGCCAATCCACCCGAGTGGAGACAACGACTGTCGCAACCGAGGGCCGGGCACGCTACCATAGCAGCGGTAAGACCCCTCTTTGAGGAGTGGCTTGAGAGACGCCACGGCGTCCTCACCTTCCGTCTGACGCAGGTGCTTACCGGGCACGGCAGCTTCGGTAGGTTCCTGTTTCGGATTCAGCGGGAGGAAACGCCCGAGTGTCGTCATTGTGAGGACCACCTAGAGGATACGGTGGAGCATACGGTAGCGGTATGCCCTGCCTGGGCTGAGCACCGCCGTATCCTCAGGGAAGTGATCGGCGGCGGCGACCTCTCGCGCCCGGCCTTAGTCGAGGCCATGGTGCGGAGTGAGAGGAACTGGGACGCCGTCTCCTCCTTTTGTGAAGCAGTCATGCTCGCAAAGAGAGAGGCGGCCCGCGTGAGGGAGCAATCCTCCTCCTCACGCCCCAGCAGCCGCAACTGGCGACACTACGGGCGTCGGGGATCGAGGGACGATCTCCGGCCACCGTAAGTACGGGCCTGCGGTCGGCGAGTAAGGGCAGCTCGCCGCCCGACCAGAACCAGGCCCGAGCGTACGGCGCGTAGCGTTCCGCGCGCGCCTCAAAGAGCCATTCGACCACCACAGACGGGGCCCTAAAGGGCTGATGTTCAGCCGGGGTTGCGGGGTAAGCGCAATGAGGTACCGCGACCTCGGCACAGAGCAGGAGAAGGAACAGGGGGGTTTTTAGTCAGTAAGAGTCTGACACTCCCTCCTGCCCGGCCCTGGGCGGGAGAAGTCATTTGATGATTTTCCCCTCACAAAAAAAAAAAAAAAACCCTGAGCAAGCTTGTCGATGAATGCTCAAACCTATTCCGTGTGAAAAGAGGCCCTTGCTAAGCAGTATTAGCACTTATAGGCCGATGATGTGACGTGATGCTATATGCTGATTTGCTATGGTAGATATTTTGTTTCTAACATCAGGACTCCTGACCGTAATGAACACAGAACATTGACAGTATTTATGTAACAGATTACTATTTGATTTTTAAATAATGTATTTGCCTATATGCATATTTAAATTGAATCACTCCTACAAATTATTTTTTATACTAAATTAGTAGCTATAGATTTAGGCCTCAGAAACTCTAGTGGGTTAGTAGACCTCTTGTGTGTCACCTTGAATTAACATATGAGTGAGCACCCTCTGAAACTGACGCATAAACATTGCGAAGTACCTACGTATCTAATTTCCAATAGTGACGTTAACAAGCTCCGTAATCATAACCGAATCTATCGGATAAGTATCCGAAATAAATTTTGTCAATTCAAATCCGATAATAATATAAAAGTCTTGTGTAACTTCTGTTATAATTTTGGGTTGTCATCATCAACCGAAAAAAATTAAATGTGAGAACGCGTTGCTTCGGCAGGAGTGAAACAGCTAACAACATTGTGATTTGCCATAAGAGTAGGTAAGGTTACTAAAACCCCACTGCTCAAACTCCTAAAAACCCGTAAAAGGCCGGTAACGCACTTGTAACTCCCATTGTGTTTATGGTGTCTAAAAGCGGCGCCGTTTGTAACGGTCAGGTGATCTATCACCTTATATAAAAATAAAATCTTTAACTGTGACTGTGACCTATCTCATAAACGTGAAGTCTTTAATTACATTGGACGACAACGCACTTTTTTAAATTCAATTATTTAACAGCAACCTGCTGTTTTGACTAAGTATATCAGTCTTTCGTCGTTAGAACGCCTGTTTACAATATTGGTTGTAGACGTTTTTCCTTAAATCTACCAAAATGTAATATTACAAAACATCGAATAACGAAACTGACCTTCTCCTCCCTTAATCCCTAAATCTAGAAATCCCTAATCTTTAAAATGTCGGCAACGCACTCGTAACTCCATCCATCGTGTCCATGGGCGGCGCTGATTGCTTACCATCTGGTAATCCGTCTGATCGTTTGCCGACCAATTACATAAAAAAAACTGACAGATAGGTAAATCAGTTCAAAATAATCTGAAATAATTCTACCTATATCCGAAACTAGAACCGAAACTTCACATTAGTGACATCCCTAGTTTCCAATATGGCCGAACTCTGCACACACTTTGTCACGGTAATATTATGTTCAAGATACCGTGAGGGCCTAGTTAGTTACCTCTTCCAAGATTTGCGGTTTCTAAATTATTTGCTTACGGGAACGTCTTAATTCCTTGGTATTTGGTAACTGTTGCTAAGAGGGCTAATGTTAATTAGCTATGCATGACATGTATGTATATGTTTTTATACAAATATTGTGAAAGAGAAACATCAGTATTATTTTGTAGGTACCTACTGAGTAATCATCACTACGTAGTAAAAAATAAAGGCGCTTTTCCTATCCCTATATCCTTATGCATACTTAGATCTTTAAAACTACGTAACGGATTTTAATGCTATTTTTTTAAAATAGACATTGTGATTAAAGAGGTTTGTGTTTGCTTTATATGTATAATAAGAACTAATAAATAGTGGAGCAATGGATCACTTCATTGCATCCGTGCGAAGCTGGGGTGGGTCAGAATCTTTAACCAAACTGCATTAGGATTTATCTCGTAGGTTTTGTTTCTATAGAGTATTAACTTAGATTGTTCCTAAATTCATATTGTTAATTCTAAGCTATTAAAGTAAGGAGGGTAATAACAATCCGGGTATCTTTAAGTCAAGAGTGAATAGGTTACTTCTAGGTAAGCGCGCTCCATCGTCGACAGCATCGTCGCTTTCCATCAGGTGAGATAGCGGTAAAGCGCGAACCTATAATCAATAAAAAAAAACACGTCGTGGTGGCCCGGAGGTGAAGGAGGCCGCTTCTCATGCATCATGGTGTTGGTTCGAAATCTGGCAAGTACCAATGTGACTTTTTCCTAGTTATAATTATGTACTTTCTATGATTATTTAGATACCACTGATATACGGTGAGGGTAAACATCGTGAGGAAACCTGGACTTATAATCTCTAATTATAAGTT